ATATAACAGTAAAAGCAGTGAAGTGTTAAGTTGGTTGCGAAAAAAATTAAATTGAATCAGCTGTTCTCATCCAAGAAATTACTTAATGAACGACCCAACATCTTCGTAGGAAAGAATTACATTTCTAGTAAAAACTAGATTTAGGTTAAACTAGCAAAGAATGCGATTAGGGTTAAGGTAACTGGAGGTGAGCTTAGGTTTCAAAAATAAAATATTCCTACCCAACCCAAGCTTATGAGTGTCTAACAAATACCCAACATTAGTTGAACATTTTGTTTAACAACCACTAACTGGTTCGTTAGTGTGAGTACACAAATAACTAACCAATTTACGCACATGGCAACAATTCTCACACATGCACACATACAAACATATTTCCGTATGAACGCAATTTCCTTTAACCATGGAGCAAAATAGAAAACCGCCATTTAACTGTTATAGGAGGATGTGAAGAAGGAGGTAAAGGTGGAGGCGGCAACGCACAAGCGTATTAAGGTCACATTATGTACACCGATGGATTTGTTGAAGAGAATATGATTGTGTTGACTCCTTGGTGACAAAGGTAAATAGCAACAACACAAACAAAACAATGCAGCAAAAAATACTCAATAAAGCAAGAGAACATTTGATATAAAGCTGATGGAAATCATTGAGTTCATCTGCAAACAAAGCTGCTGATTGTGAAAAATGTGCTGCCACATGCTCCCCTTTGAAAATTGGTAAGTATTATCGAATATATGTAGTTCATTTTATTTGTTTTCTATGCGTCACGGTTGGAGTGTGCATACACTTCTAACCTGAATTCTGCTTTTAACTAGAGTTACTATCTGGAGAGTGATTGCCCATTAAATGTGTTCGAAATATTGAATAACATATATTACGCATTTTATTTAGTAGTTACATGTGTATGTGTACAGGAGCTTCTAGAAATCTCTTAACAAGCTAAAGCATTACATTTTCAATTTGAAAACCTCGACAAGGATTGGCTAGAGTTCAAGTGTTTTCTGCTTCTTTATTGGGGTAGACACCGCTTTCATGGTTATAGACGAGTTAACAACAGCGCCTCAGTTGCTCTTTTTTTCGCGAGATCCCAAGAGTAGTCAGGTCTTTCTTCACCTTGGAATCGTTCCTTCCATTTAATTCCCTACTCAGTCCGAAGTAGCGCCTGTTGCCAAGAGTTATTCTGAGGTGGATTTCGAGGCTGATGTTGTTAATACTGGTTCCAAGACAGACGAAATTATCTACGACTTCGAAGTTGAAGGCTGATTGTCAACAGTGACGTGGGAGCCTAGTCGCGAGTGCGACGACTGTTTGTTGAATGACACGGAATATTTCCTCTCGCTCTCGTTCTCTATCAGACCTGTTTGCTTTGCTGGTCTGAAGTCTGGAGAAATCAGATATAGCAGCGTTATTGTCGGGGCCAATGATGTCAATATCATCGGCGTACGTGAGTAGCTGTACTCTCTTATAGAAGATTGTACCGGCTCGATTAAGCTCTGCAGCTCGAATAATTTTCTCCAGCAGTAGATTGTAGAAGTCGCACGAGAGGGAATTGCCATATTTGAAACCTCGTTTGGTATTAAACGGCTCCGAGAGATCCTTCCCGATCCTGACGGAGCTTTTGGTATTGCCGGTATAGTTTCAGTGTAGTCAGCTTTAATAAGTCTTAGCTACAATTTTCGGAGTTTCCTAATGATGTATTGACTTTTCGCGCTCTCTACCTCTCGCTCTAACTCTCTCTATACAAATAATTTATGGAAAAGCTGTTGAGCAAGTGTTCAGTGATCCCGCTCAAGCACCTACAGTTGCTTACAGAACGGGTGCAGTTTCTCTCTTCCTTTCTCTCTCTTCCTTTTAATAATAATTCTGTAGTCTTGTCTCTTTCTTTCTTTCAATAATAATTTTGGCCTTGATCCTCAGTTACCAATTTCCTTAAGTGAGAAAGACTTTTATAATCTCTGATATTTTCTTCTCTGCCTGACATTTTTTCTTTCACAATTGTCGGTCTACGCTTCTAATACATCTGTCCTGGTATCAACTTTTATTTCGGCATGAGCAATTGCTGTCACAAGCTTTTAATGTGACCTCTCCAACTAGCGTTTGAAACTTTTATCTGATTTGATAAACAAAAGCTACAATGAAAGCTTTTAGTTCATAAAATTTTCAGTTGGAGATAGCGTGGATAAGTTTAGCACATTTGTAGATATAATTGGCGTCGATATTTCTTTAATATCTTTGAACCCTTATGGCGCCATTTAAGCTTTTTCTGCTCATCAAACATACAAGAGAGTTTCTTCTTTGTTCCTTACCACACCTTTATTTCAGTTTATTATTTCTTTCGTTCATTGTTTTGCTTTCATTTTGGCTTGCTTTATTTGTCCGCACTGTTTCATTCTGGTGGTTTCTATTCATTTATACTTTTGTGGTTTTCCATTGACTTTTTTGTTTGCATTTACTCTTGCCACATATGTCACCTATACAAGTATACTATATGTACTATATGCATTCCAACCAGCCACTCATTGCTATGAATTCCTGTATTATCCTGATTTCTCAGCTTACCAATTGCCACTCGTACTATTTACCATGTGCTTAGTTCCAATCACACATTTAATCCCAGCAAGTTAACTTTGCTCGGTATTTGTACGCAAACTGTGTGCTTATTCTCAAACTCCCACTTGGCTGTGGATATTCATAAGACTTAAGTACCGTTAACTAAGAGTTCACCACATTTTTCACTTAATACCTGATTATTTGAGTATACATATGGAGCACAAGTTAGTTGTGTCTCTTAAATATTATTTTGTATTCTTCTTGAGAGCAGCGACAAATGTAACAAAGTGCACGTCTGTTATATAACTGGTTGCTGATTCGAAACTCGACAGCTGTATGGGTACTACGAAATATTCGAGTATGTTCCTAACATGAGAAAGTAAAGCTAATTAACATTTAAGCATCCTTAGATCGACAGAACTCATTCCTTGCAGTCCTCGCTCATAGTCTGGTCAGCAACACCATTTGATCATCATACTATAGGGACGTCATATTTCGAAATTCGGAGTCAGAGGCCTCAACTTTAAGTTATATTAATACTTTGTTCTTAATATATTCTTCGAAATATCTGTTATTTCCCTCGAAGTAACGACCCTTTATCCCAATCCTCGAAACAATTGTTAAAGTCAATTTCCGGAATAGCCTTCAAAGCGATTCACTTTTCTTGTCTTCAATTGGCTCAAACCGATTTCCCCGGAGCGGGAGCAGGATATCCAGAGCCAAATCAGTCGAATACGGTGACGGTATTCCTTGTTAACAGTTTGGTCGGTCGGAACGAATTCGTAGCGCAACATACCTCTATAATGGAAGAAAACTGTCAACATAATCTTGATTTCTGACCAACTTTAATGTGGTTTTTTGGGTTCGGCTCATCTTCGGCACGATATTCGGCTTATTGGTCGTATGTTTCCGAGTCGTCAGCATAGATCCAAGACTTATCGCCAGTAATAATATCTTTCATGACATCCTGATAGTTAAAAAGCATTGCTTCACAGACTTCAACGCGACCCCATTTTTTCGAAAAAAAATATAGCAATTTTGAAACTAATCTTGAGTTCACTCTGATCTTGAGATCCTTCTGATATTCGAACGATGCCAATAAGATGAATGCGTTCTCGGCATTTTCTTTTTGAATTATTTACACCGATCAGAAATACTTGCTAGCGACTACCGCCCCCCTATGACAGTCCGGTCGAAATAACCGGAACGGACCCGGATTTTTATCCGACCAGGACGATTTTCACAGATATTACCTTAGGAATGTTTTCTTCCGTTACAACAATTACCATTGAAGGTCTTTTCCAACATTTTGAACGTTTCGACGCCAGAAATATGATTCCAAACACAAAATTTTATGGAACTATTTTATTGAATAGTTTCGCTCATCCTAAAAATCGCCGAATGCACTTTATGTACCTCAGAAAGTCAAGCAAATCCCAACGGGAAGCTCTTTCATCATATTGGCTATTGATTTGATATGCCTGCAGGGTCAAATCACTCACACTCTTAATGGAAATGTACGAGTATATGCAAATTTATACATGAGAGTTTAGTTTCATATAGACGCACGAACGTATATACCTTAATACTTATATACCTACATAGTTACTGTTATTCCTATGGCAGTAAATATATTTTTCTTTGTATTTTTTCACTGAAAATTGTAATTGCCTCCTCTCTTCGGTTGTCAAGTAATCAAATAAATTCTTTTGTTCGATTTTCTTCCTTAATTCCCCAAGCTTAGTGTGTCTGGCCAAACGTAACAATTAGTTGTTGCAGGTATTTACTGGAGATAAACTTAAATGTATAAAATTGAACTAAAATGTTCTCGAGCAATTATTGGTCTACTGCCCCCTCTGTCATTACAACACTTCGTTTAGCCCAGTTATATTAAAAAGGTTTAGTAAAGCTCTCGAGTTAATGGTTGTGCTCCCTCACCGAATTTAATTTTCGATCCGTCTGTATGCCATTGTATTGTGCTACTACGAAGGTACTTCGCAGGAGAGAAGGCCTCTCCTTTACATTTGCTCCATGCTTATGAGAGTTTGAATTTCTTTTCAAAGTAAATTATTTTATCGACTCTAGGAAGAAGTGCTAACGATAGACTACCTCCAATAGCGCTTATTATCCTGTTCTTGTTATGCCTTGATGCCAGCAGCGCTAAAATGGATCTTTTTGCTGTCATCTGCACAACGATAAGAAGGGGAGTGAGGTCAAGAATCACCTGCTAGTGCTAGGTGCTTTCCCAACCGAGTTTTGAAGTTAAAACCAGGTCTAGATATTTAATTTTATCAACCCTGCCCACATCCACCCCTTTGAGGTTTGGGTTCTGAGGGCCGAAAGAGAATTGAATAATTGGAAAAAAAAATATTTTAAGCTATACTAGTGCTGTCATATTGTAAAAAGATTCCATAATTTTATTTAAATTTTTCCTCATCAACACTCACCTGTTGTTCCATTTTCTGGTTACGACTGCTGACTGCAGACATTTTTTGTATTTGTTGCTGCCTGTTGATTTATTTAACTTCCCTTTTTAACTTATATTTTTTTGTATTTTTTATATTTCAAATTATTATTTGTTTTGTATTTTTTT